GGAATCAATCGGTCAAGGCATGTGGCCGCCCATGTGAGCTTCGGGTTCTGTGTGTAGCGGCGGATCATGCGGTTGGCGGCGTCGACATCGACGCGGATGCGGTCGTCCTCCACATCGGGCTCCTCATCCTTCTGCATGGATACATAGATACATACCAGACACGGAAACAGAGGCAGTGCATGTGTGTGCGTGTGTGTACCCACTCCATCACTCCCTGCCCCACTGACCCCGAAGATCTTCTTCCTGGCCTCCTCGTACCGCCTGTCTTTCTCAAGGAGTGGCGCCGGCTGGCTGTCGGGATCCTCGCTGTCAGGGGCTCGCTGGTGGATGGGCATGTCGGGCTCTCGATCCTGGATCCTCACCTGCACTTCGCCTTTCTCGGCTTCCTCCACCCAGTCGGGCATCGGCGGCTTCTCGAACTGCACCGGCTCCTTGTCCGCATCTGGCGGCTTCCACGTCCCAACCACAACAGCCGGAGCCTTGATCCTCGCCTCGATGAGCCTGTGGGCGTGCTTGACGCCAGCGAGCGAGCCCCTGATGGTGAGCTGAGTGCACAAGCACACATATACACGCAGAGAGAGGGAGAGAGAGGTGTCTGTCGGTCTGTCTGTCTGTCTGTCTATCTGTCTGGTCTGTGTCGTCTGTGTGTCCTTCCTTGACTCTCGGGGTGGTGTGTTTGGAGCCTACCATGCGGTGCGGTCCGGTCGATGGCGGCACCTCTTTGATTATGTTGACCTTGGTCGTCGACTGGTTCTCGATCTCCTTAATCGTCCCGCCGCCTTTGCCGATGATGCGCCCCACCAAGCCAGCGGGAACCCGACACTCAGTCCACACCTCAACTAACTCCCTCCCACTAGCTCTCACGCCGCCACCAACATCAACACCAGCACCAGCACCCACCCCCACACCCACCCCGCCGCCCTCCACCTCCGCCGCCCTCTCCAACGTGCTAATGCCACTGCCCCCAGCTGCCAAGGGGGCGAGGATCCTCACTTGGCCGCTGTCTGCAGCTTGCATTCACCATCATCATCTGGCACGTGCGACGGGTGAACGTGCCTTGAGTGAGCTCACCCGTTGTGTATTCTGGCGAATGATTCGCTTTGCGGTGGCGCCGTCGACCCGCGGCGACTCGCATCCTGCCCCTGTGACACATACATATCAGACACGAAAACGAAGGGACTGCAGTACCACACGAGGACTCCAACCCCTTCCAAGGCAAATCTGGTAGGTGCGCAGGGACTGCCCGGTGTCGCTGCAGCTTGCAGCCAGTAGATGGCCGCCGAAGCGGCCAAGAGTGCGTTAAAAAACAGATAAAACAGAGGAGACATGAGCAAATCTACATGCTATTTTCTTCTTTCTGTCTTGCTTACGTACCTGAGCGGCTTGCCGCCAGATTCCTCTCGTCAGCTGGGTGACAGGTCAGACAAACATCTGAAGGATGGCGCAGATGATGGACTGATTGAAAAGTATCGGTGATCATTCTTAACGTGCACGTGACGGGGGTACCCGGCTCTCTCTGGTTGCGAGGGTGTGGTTGTTTCGTTGGACCAAAGCATTGCCTTTCTGAAAAGCAGAAACGAGAACACTGTCGCCAACAGCTCCACAGACGGCAGGGCAGTACCAGTTGAGACCTCGCCGAGGAAGAAAGTGGCGGGTGACGTTCGGTTCGGACGAGCTGGGAAGGGTCCTGTACAGGACAATAGAAGGAAACAGAAGGCGAGCAGGTCAGACAATGGCTGCCTGCAGCAAGTGCTGTCAGATTACCTGGAGTCCGCTTACCTTAATGATGACTTTGCGCGGGCTCATTGACGTCGTGCAGAAGAGGTTTTGAAAGGTCCGACGGATATAAAATGTAGGCACCGATTTGCAGGCGCACACAGAGGGGACGAGAGACATGACTGTGCACAGTGGCAAGACAGCGGACGGTTGGCATGAAGTGAAGAGTCGGCCAGACATGACATCTATAAAGAACCTTATATATGTGTGCGCTTACGCTGTCGGTGTGTTGTGGCGAATGATGCGCCCGGCGGCGTCGACATCGACCCTCGGGCGGCCCTGCAAGACGGGAAACACACGGGGTGCATGTACGTAATGTCCGTAATAGACAAATATCACTGACCCCATGGACCGGCGCCCCTCTCTTGCTCTTCGACACCACCGCCTGCTTGGCCTTGGGCGGTGGTGGCCTCTTGGTGGGCGGCGAGGAGTGCCTCTTGGCCTGTGGCTGCTTCTTGGCTGGCGGTGGCGGTGGAGGCGGCGACACTGATGAGGGTAAAGAGGGTGCCATGAACTCGAGCAGCACCAAGGGCGACGGGCTCGTCTGCATCAGCATGGCGTTGAGGTCGGGCCGCACCTCGTTACACATGTCCAGCAGCTTCTCCAGGCAGCCGGGGTCCCGTGCCCAGATGGCCTTCAGGACCATGAAGAAGCGCCTGGGCAGCTGCATGGTCACTCGCCGCCGCACAGCCTTGGGTTGAGAAAGGCACAGCGGTCCCAGGTCTGGAGCTCCTGCGGGTGCGTGCTGATAACGTGCACGTATTGGCCTGAGACCATATCACGTATTGGCCTCACAAGTAACACGAAAAAACTCGAATGTGAGCAACCTTCCAATCTTCAATTGATGCATACCCGAGCCATTCCTGAAGTTCTCGAGCTGAAACTGCGCGGCGGCCTCCGCCAACTTATCAAAGAGGTCCTGCCGCACACACACATCACCATCAAGGAAGGGAATGCACCCATACTCGTTTTCATCCGTGCGTGCAAGGAGGAATGCATCTGTCTGTCTGATGTCGAGGAATGCATCCGCCTCCCGTCGCCACAACGGTCCCTTGTGTGGCTATTCTGCCTCCCTCGCTGCCTCACTGCCCTTACCTCATCCATCGTGTTGTGTCGCGTCGTGACAAATTGCAATAATCCTGGCCCAACTGCAATAAGACATGGTCCACTCGTCGATGTACACATTGAGCTGTCTCGGTCTGATACACACACAAGACAGAGACCGGCCAAGCTGCAGGGAGACATGTGCTCCTCTGTCTTACTTCAGCGGGCGGTGCATACGAATTGGACTGACGTGGGAATCCGTATGAGAGTCTCACAGATATAAAACGTAGGCAGCGATCTGTCTGCAGACACAGAACAGGAGAGACACAGCAGATTGTCGATGAGCCTCGCCGTGATCTTGATAGGCCGTCAACTAGTTGCTCGCACACTCTGAAGTAACCGAAACAACAGACAGAGAGACAGACACATCGATCGCCTCCACAGCAGATGTTTCTATGCATCGTGTTGCTCTCACTCCTCACCTCACCAGCGAAAGCAGATCAGTCGGTGATCGCGACCGCCCCGTCTCCCTCGCTGCCACTGACCGTTCCCCCCTGCCCTCCTGCTGCTGCTGCTGCTGCTGCTGTTGGCGGCGTTGGTCACGGTGTGCGGGGAGGGCAGAGGGAAGGCCACGGGCCGCCCAACGGGCCCCGCCCCCTCGTTGCGGCGCCACCATGGCCGGCGGCACGTCGCCCATGCGCTGGCCGCGCAGAATCACCCCGGTCACCGCAGGATCCATGGCCACGCCCAGGGCTGCGGCTTCAGACACTGACATACATAAAGACAATAAATATGTAACATCATACATACACGATGAATGAATTCAATCGTCGGGGCCCGGTGCAGACTGAATGAACGAATGAACGAATGAATGAATAAACGAATGAATGAGTCCCCCCTCCCTCCATGCGCACCTACCAGATTTGCCTTCGAAGGGGTTCAAGTCCTCGTGTGATACTGGGCACGCTGCAACACGTGGCTCGACTGCATGGACAAGACGAGACGATACGATACGAGACGAGACGAGACGACCCAACGAACGAGAGGAAAGGAAGAACGAAGGAAGAGAAAGTCTTAATTACAAGTTGTGAATGAATGCATTCATGATCCACGGATTGGATTCGTGCGTCCCTTGGCTGTCTGTCTGTCTGTCTCCTCCCTATTCTCCCCCTCCCACCCCGCCTACTTACCTTTCCTCCAAACGCGATGGCCACCACCGCCGCCCCGCACAGCCGCCACCGTCCCTGAATGACCGGTGCTGCGCCACGTGGCGTCGTTGCATGCCGGTCTTGCCGAGCCCATGATGCGCTCCCTGGCCGCCGCATACTCCATCTCCTTCTCGTCCAGCGTGGTCGGCTCGCCACTCCGGCCCCCGGTATCAACACCACACTGCACGCACACACACACACACACACACAGAAAACACGCACACAGAGAGAGACAGACATGTGAGAAACAGATAGATGTATGTAAAGGTGCCAAATGAATGACTAACCTCCTTTGACGAATCCTCGAGAATGCGGCGGCAGGCGTCACGGTCGAATCGACCACTGCAGGGGCGGTAAGGGCAGGTGAAGGTCGAGCTCCTGGGGTCCCCTCAGCGAGAGAGACACAGTCACCCCACCTCCCACACAGCACGATCCCGCAACACGAGGCCCTGAACGTCCGCGGCTACGGCTGGGCACACTCTGGGCGCCTGGCGCTCCGCGTGGAGGTTTGTGGCGGCAGTGGGGGTTGGGGCATTTGGTGTGTGTGTGGCGGCTGTCGACGGGGGCGACGGCCTCGAGTGCGGCCTTTTTGATGAGCGTTGGGGGCTGCTGGGCGACGTCTTCGCGCACCGTCAGCGCGGCCAGCCGGTTGATGTCCTCTCCTCGAGCGATGAGCGCCGTGAGCCTGTCCATCAAGAGCCGCACTCTGAGCTGCCCCACCGACATGACGTCGGGCGGCAGCTGCAGGAGGCGAAGCACGGTTGTCCAGTCTTTGTCAGGCACGCCTGCATACATAATCAATCATGCATGCAACACAAATCAATCAATAGAGAAAAAGGCCCGCCTTTGCCCCACCCACCGAACCGACCGACCTGTCATGCCCTTGAACGTGGGTTGCGCCTTCCGTATGAGGACGATGTGTGCCGAGATAAGCGCCGTGCTTGCGTTGCGCTCCATGCTAGTACGGAGGGTCTCCTCTCACTCGTCACAGAAATCCTGATGGATGGATGGACACAACCAAAGGAATGGATAGACACCCATATATGGGTGTGGGTGTGGGTGTGGGTGTGGGTGGGTGAAATGTGTGATGTGTTGGTGGATGGATGGTTACCTACCTGTAGTTTGTGCAGGTTGGGGCGGAAGTCCAGCCACGTCTGGGAGGCAATCTCCTCAAGACCACTCACAAAACTCTCAAACAGCGCTTGGCTTTGTACTACCTGAACGAATAATTGCGGCACACGAGGCAAGAGAGAGACATGAGAACACAATGTTATATTGCCCATTCCTCCCCATCCCTATCACTCACTCGGCTTCTCGGTCACGTTTGGGGAGGTCGGCCAAGTACTTAGCGTGCTGCTGATCCTGCATAAGGACACACACGAAAGGGACGACACGGACATCACACGAATGAGATGAGTGGGCGCTTCGTTCGTTGATTAACACATACCAGCTGCTGTGAGGTGCAGTATCTGTAGAATTCCTTGCCGGCCTCGCTCGGGCGTTGCACTTGGTGTCGCTGCAGCTTGCAGCCAGTGAATGGCCGCCGAGGCGGCCAAGAGGGCATTGAAAAAAAAGGAAAACGGAGAAGACATGAGCAAATCTATATGCTATTCTCTTCCTTCTGTCTTGCTTACGTACCTGAGCGGCTTGCCGCCAGATCCCTCTCGTCAGCTGGATGACAAGTCAGACAAGCATCTGAAGTATGGCGCAGATCAAGGATCGATTGAAAAGAATCGGTGATCATTCTTAACGTGCACGTGACGGGGGTACCCGGCTCTCTCTCTAGTCGCGAGGCTGTGGTTGTTTCGTTGGACCAAAGCATTGCCTTTCTGAAAAGCAGAAACGAGAAGACTGTCGCCAACAGCTCCACAGACGGCAGGGCGCGGCGCACTTCCAGTTGAAGGGACGAGACGGACCTCATAAGCCGATAAATAGCGAAAAATCTCGCGGCACATCTACAGGACGACAGCAGGTCATAGAAGGCGAGCAGGTCAGGCGATGGCTGCTGCAGCAACTGCTGTCAGATTACATGGGGTCCGCTTACTTTAATGATGACTTTGCGCGGGCTCATTGACGTCGTGCAGAAGAGGGTTTGAAAAATCCGACAGATATAAAATGTAGGCACCGATCTGCAGGCGCACACAGAGGGGACGAGAGACATGAGTGTGCAGAGTGAGACTCGGGATCCTGCACACGGCAGAAGATGACCTTTCCTCTGTGTGTGTCCGTAACCCCTGATGCGATCGTTGCTTTCTGCCTTCTTCTCATCTCGCGGGGCGATGAGGGGGAATCTGACAGAGACGGCAGGAGAGGAATGCACTGTGTGTTGGCCAGCAATTGTCATGTGCTCTCTCGCTCATTTTCCCCTGTTGTGGTCTCCATCATCGAGCGGCACCACGAGCATAACTGCGACACAACCTGACTGACACACCCACATCAGAAGAGAGAGAGAGAGAGAGAGACGCCATCACAAGTTGATCCAAACATTGAAGGCCATGATTAGGGGCCATCGTATCGGTGTCGTTTGGTGCTGTCCTGTTGCTGACTGTGTGTGAGGGGGGGACGCGCAGCATCCACAGAAGCTAGAGCCCCGAAGACCTTAAACGAGCACAGCGGTCTGCAGACACGGGATCGCAGAGACACCATCGTGCCAAGTTACATGTATCGTGAGGCGCTCCTCAAAGTACTTCACAGCGCAGCGCATCGGTCGATTTGGCGTAAAGAATCCGCCGAATATAAAGCGTAGGCAGCGATTCTGAACACGACCAGACATGCAAACACAGTTTCAATGTGACTTGTTCGAAGGCGGGTTGAGCTCGTCAGAGTTGGACGTTATGATTGATGACGTGTGGGTATTTGCCTGAGACCACATACACACACAAGTAAGACGAGGAATCCCGAATGTGAGCGACCTTCCATTCTTTAATTAATGAATACGTACCTGATCCATTCATGAAGGTCTCGAGCTGAAAGTCCGTGGTGGCCTCCGCCAACATATATGAAACATGGCAGTAGTACACTTGGACGTCGCGCGGGTAAGGGTAGATGACATGTAGGTATCGGCCTGAGACCACATACACACACAAGTCAGACACGACAAATCCCGTATGTGAGCGACTTTCCATTCTTTAATTAATGCATACCCGAGCCATTAAGGAAGTTCTCGACCTCAAACCTCGTGTAGGCCAATGCTAACTTATCAAACACCTCCTGCCGCACACACACATCACCATCAAGGAGGGGAATGCATGCAATGCACCCATACTCGTTTTCTCCATCCAGGCAATGAGGAATACATCTGTCTGTCTGATGTCGAGGAATGTTGGAGGAATGCATCGCTCCCGTCGCCACAAAGGCACTCTCTCTTGCTATTCTACCGCTGGCATCGCTCTCTGCCCTCCTTGCTCCGTCCTTTGTGTGTCGTGCTCACCTCCTCTACGTCGTTTGCCTCGGTGGCCATGTGGGCGGGGGTTGCGGCGACGGCCATCCGGCTGGCCGTCCCTCCCGCACACATGGCCACGTACGCAGAAACACTCTCAAAGAAAGGCATTCTCACCAAATGCCGCAGCCGTCCCAAAAGCACTGAAGCGATCGCTGGGGGCGGAGAAGCCCGCTGAGCGGTTCCCAAGAGATATTTGCCCTGCTTATGACGAGTCGTGAGATATTTGGCTCTCGGCTGTCTGTCTCTTGTGGCCGCCGGGGGGGCTGAGCTCGTCGAGTAGGACTTTGCAGTAGTAGACCTGGAACTCATGGGTGTGGGTGCTAATGATGTGGATGTATTCACCTGAGACCACATACACACGCACACAAGTAAGAAGAGAAATCCCGAACGTGAGCGACTTTCCATTCTTTAATTAATGCATACCCGAGCCATTAAGGAAGTTCTCGACCTCAAACCTCGTGTGGGCCAATGCTAACTTATCAAACACCTCCTGCCGCACACACACATCACCATCAAGGAAGGGAATGGATGCAATGAGGAATGCATCTGTCTGTCTGATGTCGAGGAATGCATCCGCCTGCCCTTGCGTGGCTATTCTGCCCCTGGCCTGCATGCATGGCCTCCCTCGATGCCTCCCTCATCTCATTAATCGTGTTGTGTCGCGTCGTGCTGTTCACCTCAGCTAGTCGGCTGACTACCTCGACGCCCTGATGCATTCATTCATTAATGCGCACACCCAGACACACAGAGGGACCGACCGGCATTCACATTGATGGTCGTTTGTTTTTCGTCGGCTCTCCGTTGTCTGTGTCCTGTGTGTGCCGGGCGGGTTGAGCTCGTCGATTAAGACTTTGCAGCAGTAGACCTGGACCTCATGGGTGTGGGTACGGATCACGTTGATGTATTCACCTGAGACCACATACGCACACAAGTAAGAAGAGAAATCCCCAATGTGAGCGACTTAATGCATACCCGAGCCATTCATGAAGTTTTCCATCTCGAACTGCGCGGTGGCCTCCGCCAACTTCTCGAAAAGGTCCTGCCGCACACACACATCACCATCAAGGAAGGGAATGCACGCAATGCACCCATACTCGTTTTCTCCATCCAGGCAATGAGGAATGCATCTGTCTGTCTGATGTCGAGGAATGTTGGAGGAATGCATCGCTCTCGTCGCCACAAAGGCACTCTTTCTTGCTATTCTACCGCTGGCATCGCCCTCTGCCCTCCATGCTCCCGTCCTTCGTGTGTCGTGCTCACCACGTCGCTATCGTCTGCCTTGGTGGCCATGTGGTCGGGGCTTACAGCGACGGCCATCTGGCTGGCCGTCCCTCCCGCCCACATGGCCACGTAGGCGACGAAACTCCCCAACTGACAGAGAGGGCCTCACCAGAGAGAAACCAGCCGGAGAAGATAACTGACTTGAGAGAAAAGACGACGAAAACGAAAGAAAACCCCCAGAAAAAGACGCAGTCTCGCGTCGAGAAATCTCGCCTAATTTGAGAAGTGACGAAGGGACAATAGTCTTCGATGTACAATGACGGCTCCTCACCTGCGTAGCGATGGGCTCTTTTTGAACAACTTTTTGGTCTCTGCCTCCGCCTTGGTGCTTCCTTCACCTTCACTCTCAGCAGGTCAGGTCGATATGAAGTCCCGCCTCTTGAAATATGTTTCTGCGAGGGAAGAAATCCGGAGAATCGACTTGGACACTGCACAGTGACGACTCGCCTTACCGACACACTTACCACCTGTGGAGAAGTGTGCCGAGAAATGAGACAAATCAGACTGCCTTTCTCCGCCACCTTATCTGCACACGTCAGGAGTGGCCACAGCCGATGCGCGTGCGCACACATTTAGGCCTCTGAGTCACTTGCACCATGCACCACACAGCGATTGCCACACACACGAAGGAATACCCAACCCAACCACCACAGTCGACAGGACTGACCTGAACCAGGCTTCCACGGGGGAGAGAGAAGGCACGTGTCCTCAGCGTAGCCGCACCCAGGCGCCACGCTCTCGGCAGGCGGCAGCCTGAGGGCGCCATGGCTGCCGGCAGGCTGCCGGCAGGAGGCGAAACCAAGATGTTGCGGCCGGCCTCCAGACGAGCGGGAGGGCTCGGGAGGGTCTTGGGCGAGCCACATAGGATGACAAGCAGCCCGAAAGAGAAAGAAATAGAGGAGCTGTGGCCAGGAGAAGGCAGATGGAGAGGAAAACCGCAGCGGTGGTGAAGAAGACAGCGAAAGTCGAATAAGTGAATTGTCCCGTCTCTCGCGTCGAGAAAATCTCGCCGAAGAAGAGTGAAAGCGACAGGCCGAATGACAAGTCTGGCAGTGCTTCAGTTCCTTCACAGTGGAGTGGCGAGTGCATGGGGGCGAAGGGCTGCGTCTCAGGCCCCCAGGATCGGCCGCATGCATCATTCATTCATTTCTGATCTTCAACGTCCGCCTTGTAAGGCCAGCCTGAGTGCAAGGCCAGCCCTACAGACACAAGGCTGGCCTTGTGAATGAAGTCTGACGGCAGATCTTGCAGCCTCGTGTCTGCTGGCTTTGGATCGGATATCGCCGGTATTGCAAGTTGCCGAACATCAAAGTACAGGGATCAAGGATGAAAACAGGCCACGTCTTACAAACACATCACACACGTCCATCCGGATCCCTCCTATTTCCCGGCCCTTTTGGCCCTGACGATTATCTTGTGTTTTCTCATGGCGTCGAGGACGTTCCAGATCAGCTCCACAAAGTCGTTCTCCGTGTTGTTGAGAGTACCTGCAAAGACGAGCCCGCCCTCCGGCCACAGCACGGCGAAGGAATTGCCGTGGCCAGTGTGGCCCACCAAATGGCCAAGGCCGTCATCCAACACAGTGCTCATCACACCTAAGGACACACACACACATACACACATGAGATCGATGGCTGGGTGTGTCCCGTGTGTGACGTGGCTCCCTGGCTCACTTACCTAGTCCATAGGTGATGTCTGTGGTGTCGAAGTAGTTCGCCGTTGGGCCGCACTCGCGCATCGCCGCCAATGTGCTTTCATTGCCAAAGACGCCGCCCGTGAAGAGCCCACGCACAAACCGACACAGATCCTCACACGTGCTGCCAAACAAGTCCGTCCGTCATGACGCAGACACACACACAGGCACACAGATTGGGACAGGTATACACACATCGATAGGTCTGTGCTGACCTGATGACTCCGCCGCCCGCCCACTCCGCCGTCTGGCGCCGCTGTCCCCAGATGTCATCCTTGCCCTCATACCGATGGCACACACACAACTCGCACCTTCAAACACACAAACACACGTAGATGATTCGATCGATGATGGGTCAGGTGCATCCTTGTCTTTATGTGTGTCACCTCGGCGGTTCTCTGTAAGCCGTCCATGTGTGTGTCATGCCCAGGGGAACGAAGAGCCTCTCGCGCAGCACCTGCTCCAGTGGCCGGTTCTCGATCTTCTCAATCAGCAGACCCAGCAGCACGTAGTTGGTGTCGGCGTAATAGAACCGCTTCGTTTTGGCCGGCAGGGCGGCCGCATACGGCAGCACCTCCAATGGCGACCACTCGCGGTGCTCATCGGCCTCAAAGACCTGACAACAAACAGATAAATGGGCACAGACAGATTTCAGCGGAGATGCAGCCAATTGCTGACTCTGATGAACTGCTTGCTGGCCCAGTACTCGGGCAGTTTGCTCGTGTGGTTGAGGAGCATCCGCACAGTGACCCTCTCGACGTCCAGCCCCCCCAAGGCATCCTCACTTAGGTGGTCGGCCACTCGGTCGTCCAGCCCCAGCCGCCCGCCCTCCGCCAGCAACAGCACACACGCCGCCGTCATCATCTTGCTCGTCGACGCTATCTCGAAGGGCTGCGATGCACTCAATGGCTCGGTGCACTGATCGGCCCGCTGCGCCAGAGTGCCGTGGGAACCTTCGAACAACAGGCGGCCATCGAGGGTCTCGATGCGCATCAGGCCAGGCCCATAGCCGCGATTGGCACCCACCGTCTTGACCAAAAGGCTCTGCGCAGACAGCATAGCGCACAACGCGCAATGACAAGATCTGGATCAAATGATTCATCTTTTGTCAGATCTTGTGGCTGTGTGTTGTGTGATTGCCGTGTGCCTGCCTGTGTTCGGTGTCTGACGCCCTCAAGGTCATCCTCGGCGACGATGAAGCCGTCGCACTGGCCACTCATGGCACTGTCACCGGCAGCACCAGCAGCAGCAGCACCACGGTGGGCGGACCGTGGAGGAAAGCAGCACAGATGGCCTCCTATCGTGAGATAGGGAGGGAAAGGAAGGCAAACTTGGTTCAAGGGTTCTAAAACCCTGGTAGGGTGAAGGGTAGGCAAACCCTGAACCCCACCGTGAGCATCAAACCAGCATCAAACTGTTTTGACGAGGAGAGTCCCGTTCATCATTGCATCCCCTGCCTCCCATCTTGGTGTCAGTCTCCCACACGAACAGTTCTCGCCATCAAAATGTCAACAGCAGCACCGAACGGGCCGAGCCCCATTTGCATTCTCAGTCACGGCACATCGACAGACATGTACAGTACCCATACGAACACGGCATCCCCTCTCATCTCATCTGATCTCATCCCATCTGATCTGATCTCATCCCTTCATGTCGGCCTCTTGTCTCTCGGACCGACAAATGTAGAAAACACTCAGAGCAATGAAGCACGTCAACGCTGCACCGACACACAGAAGAAATCCGTGCCACGCCGGCTGCCCGACCATTGTGTGTATGATGGCACCTGCGATGTGGCACCACTTGTCGGCCAGAACGATCATCGCCAGAGAGGGCAGAATGCCTGCAAGAGATGACAGAAGGGACAGATCGTTTCAGCACACCGACCCCCACGTACTCTGGTGGCTCACATGCTGCACACAAGGGCACGGTGGCCATCAGACCTCCAGGCACATGATACAGTGGCTCTCGGCCGGACCCTGCACACACACACAATGCATGAACCACATGGGCAGACTTCTTTGCGCATCTTTCAGGCGGATGCCTGGCGTGTTTCATACCGGGGTTGTTGTCTGGCGGCTGTGATATCTCGGTGGAGAGGGTGGTGGACCGCCGCAGAGGGGCCGTGTCGTCGTCATTGTCTGTCGGTCCCCTCAGTCGCAGCACGAGAAAGGCCGTCAGGAAGACTGTCAGGGCCAACGCGTCGAAGTACATGGCCGCATTCACTGCACCACACAGCGGACGAGACACATCGTATGGTAGAGTTTTGGTGGTTTGTGTGTGGGGCATACCGAGCTTTGAGAAGTCGTTGATGCAGCATAGGACGGCTGCAGATGACAGTCAGTCACACGGATGGCGTCGTGCATGACGCATGCGACCGGTATACCTGTCAGCAAGGTGCTCGCAGCGATGACACGATAAGGGGTGCCATACTGCGGATGCAACGCACCTGAAAACGACAGTCGGGCAGGCAGCTAGGTGCTCTCATCGACCATGTCTCTCTCTTTGTCTGTCCTATGTGAGTGGTTGGTTACCGATCCAAGAGGGCAGGACCGTCGAAGTGCTGCAGATGGCCGCGAACTCACGGCTGTAGGCGCAACCCAACACTGACGGATGAAGCAAGCGTGTGCGTCCGTTATGGCCACCATCACATCATCGACCCACACAGATCATACATACCGATGAGCTGTCCAAAGGCAAGGGAGGCACCCTGACACACACACACACACACAAGCAGTGCAAACCGTCGCATTACCGACCGATGCAGGATGCCATGATATCATCCCCTGCCCACCGTGATGCCGATGAGCTGAGCGAATGGTGCACCGCCCATCTCATGCGCCAGCTGGGAGTAGAACCTGCACACAGACGCACCAGGCGTCACTCACTGCACTCACCCATGGATGCCTCTGTCGTGTGTGTGTGTACCCAGGTTGCCATTGGTGCAAATCTAGCCATGGGCTGTGTCCCTGCAGCAGTCGGACCTGCCAGAAATACCCAACAGATGCGGCGAGAGGGATGACCATACTGCATGTTGACAGCAGCAATGCAACCCTGACACAATCACGACCGCGACATACGTATACACACACACACACACACACACTGACTCGCCGTGGCCTCTGTTGCCTGTCTGCCTTGCCCAACTTGCTTACGTCATGGCTCTCGGGAAGCTTCGAGACGGCCTGTGGACCTCTCCACCGCAAGACGCGGCCTGGTCGAATCCGCTGCTGTTCCACACAAGCAGCGAGACGAAGGTGCTCCACGTCAGGGTCGGCAGCCGCACGCTCGTGGTGGGGTGAAGCCACTCGAACGCCTCCAACACGTGACCATGACTGAAGAGCCAGAAACGAAGGAAGCCCACCTTCTTCACAAGAACGTCAGCATGGTCAGCAGGAAATCCAGCATCGGTCTGACCTGAGCAAATGCCTGATTGCCACGGTCGTGAAGGCTCCCACGGTGGTCAGAGAGACGCAAACGAGAATCTCACTGCACCTGCCGACCAACCTCACGCCCCGGTAATTGGCCACCAGCATGATTAGCAGCAGCACCCCAGGCAGTGCCACACGAAGGGCCATCCGTAGCGACGGCGGCTGTGTGGCCCAGAGTGGTTCGAGGTAGGAGAGCAGTAGGGGCGGGATGGACGCCATATTGATTTGGTTGGCTGCACCGCTGAACCTGCAGACGCACACGCAGAGATGATGAGTCGGGGCATGTGTGTGGGATGCCAGGCTTACAGGGCGAATATGAAGGAGGTGAAAGGACCCAGCGTCTTCTCGACTGCGACAACTTGGGAGCCCTGCAGTGCATTGCATTGTGTTGCGCCACACAGAGAAGTCAGGAGGTCGTCAACAAAAGGTGTCCGTCTCAGCAGACCATGTATGGGTATCTTGACGTTAGCTCCGATGTCATCAGTCCGACAGGAAGGGCCCACAGCAAGGGCATCAGCACCGCCCCACACACAGCAAGCAGCGGCCCCGCCAGCTGCACCGATTCCTCCACACCGAAAGGCCCGCCGTTGCAGAAGAACAGCATCGCCACCAGCTCAGTGCAGCCAAGAATTCTGCACACATACACACAGCACAGCCCGGGACAGCCATTTCATTCGGCTCTTCGTGCGCCTATCGTGTCTGCTCACCTTCTCTGCTTGCCCTTTGCAGGGTCGATAGAAGCGCCGACTCCCACCTCGCCGTCGCCATCGCTGTCTGAAGCCTTTGCACTGCCCCTCTCCGCTGCATAGTGGGCCGATTCTTCCGAGGCCCCATCTGCAGATAGGGCGCGACGGACGACGGCCGCCTTAGCCCTCTCCTCGCTCAGAAGGGGCAGGGTCGCCTCTGAATCGCCATTCTCAGGGAAGAACCACGTCAACAGGGATGGCATGTCGGAAAAGTGGGGAGCACACAAAAAGGTGAGCTCGCATTCGTGCGAGCTTTTTGGGAAATAACGCTCCCGTACACGATCGCATTTGGGCGTGAGCGGACGAAAGACGGCAGGGGAGTGAGTGTGTGGCCAGCGCGTGACCCCCCCACCGATCCTCACCATGACCAAAGCAACGACAGTCGTCCTTCTCATCGCCCTGTGCGTGGTGTCCTGTTCGGCACAGGACCGCCGCCGTCGGAGAGATCGGAGCGAACCGACGTTCCGCAGATGCCCCACCGACACAGTCATCATCCAGACGGACCCGGGCAAGAGCACCGGCACCATCAAGTATCCCGACTTCGATGTTCACGTGAGTGGGGGGTGGGGTCGCAGGGGAGGGAGGGAGGGGGGCCGTGTTAGCCAGAGAGGGGGTGGATGGGGCAGATACGGATGCTCCCGTACGCTTCCGTACACACGGGGAGAAGCGTCGCATGCACGTGGTGAGGAAGGATTGTGTGGTGTGCCCATCCGTGCATCAGGACCTGGACGAGGAGGGCAACACGACGCCCGTATCCAAGATCAAGCTTGACTTCCGCCGCAACTCGCCCAAAGCCGGCGACCAGAAGGAGGTGGGCCTCTACCCGGTGCACGTCGTGGCCACCGACCCCTCCAACAATGCCGCCACCTGCAAGTTCACCGTCCAGGTCGTCGACCAGGAGTCGCCCCGCTTCACAGCCTGCAAGCCCAACAAGACCGAAATCATCGTCTCCCGCGGCGACCAGAGCGCGCTCCTCCAGTACGAGCAGCCGAAGGCGATCGACAACGTCGATGGTGAGGACGTCAATGTGACCTTCGTCGAGGGGGTGAGGTCGGGCGAGGTGCTGGAGAACCTCGAGGAGACCACTGAGGTCGTCTGGGAGGCCACCGACTCCGCGGGCAATCGGGCCTTCTGCAAGTTCTTCCTCAGACTCAGACGTAATAACCACAACCACACGCATGGCCAGGAGAATGAATGCACCGATTTGCCGTGTCTCGTGTCGTGCAGAGACCGTCATGAGCGAGACGGAGCTGCAGGCCATGATGGATGACCTGCCCAACGCCGTGATGGCCGTCCGCAGCGTCGCCTCGCCCGCCGCCCCCGGTGAGCTGAACGACAACGACCTTACCGCTGGCCTCTTCGAGACCAGCGCCGTGCGAGAGCGACAGGAGCGGATGCCCAACCGCATGGACCTGCCTCTGACGGCCCGTTCGGGCAGGGGCGACAACATCCACATCCTCTCCAAGCACATGAACATCGCCGTGGCCGACCTGGGTCCCAGCATGCCAAGTGAGGGCGAAACCCTCGAGGGCGACGACCTGCACGCCCTGGCCCTGTCGGCCACTTCCTTCAGGAAGCCGACCACCGTGGAGAAGAAGCATCGCGTGGGTCTGCTGGACGAGCCCAGCGAGAGGCGTCTGCAGCAGGGGCGGATCTTCAATGGCGACGGCTCTGGCCTTGGTAAGAGCAGTGACATCATCAGGAACAGCAGACCGCTGGGGCGATAGGAGATAGGAGACAAGGAGGAGAGGCGGGGGAGGGAGGGAGGAAATAAGAGGTGGTGGAAGTGAGGCGATGTGTCGTATGTGTGTTGTGTGTGCGTGTTGAGTGAGTGTGCATGCTCGTGTGTCTGTCCATATTTGTTGTGCCGTCATAGCGCGCTGGCCACACAGAGTGAGTGAGGGAGGGAGGGGGGGAGGGGGAGGGACGCATTGTGTTGCCTGCGATGGTCGATCGTGAAGTCTTTCTCTTTCTGCCCACCATCACGAGACGAGTTACTTTTGGCCTTACTACTTATAGTCGTTAGTTTTCGTTTTTGTCGGCGTGAGTGAGTGTGGGAGTGAACGGACTTACTGCCTCGATGGATGGTCTTCTGTCGGTCGATGATCAGAATTAACGCACGGTTCGTCCGGTCCTCTCGCTCGTTGCCTTTTGCCTACCACACACGCGCTAGATTGTGCCTGCCTTCATGTACACGACACACAACCTGACCTGACCACTAATTATTCACCCGAGAGACACCAACTTAATCCGGCTTTGTTTGGTCTGGTCTGTGTGCTGTTGATCGATCAGCCGCTGCGGGTGATGCGGCCAAGTCCATCCTGCAAGTCGCCAACACCCTGATGAGCAGCAACGGCGGCGGCGCACCGGCCGCACCGGCAGCAGCTGCAGCAGCACCGGCAGCAGCACCGGCAGCCCAGGCAGGAGGATCAGACATTTCGGCTATCATGGGTGCGCGCACACTCACGCACTCACTCAGACAGAGAGACTCCTCACCTCCATCCCATCTTTCCACCGATCTGCACTTGGAGACATTGTCTTGTCTGTGTGTGTGTGTTGTGTGTGTCAGCCGCGGCGGGTAAGGGTCTTGCCTCCCTCGCCAGCGGGATCGACAACGCCACGGCCAACCCCGGAGGTGCGGCTGCGGCTGGAGGTGCCACACCTCCCACCGGCATCGCTTCCCTCCCAATGGTGGGACCTGCCGGCAACGCGTCTACAGGCGGCAACGCCTCGGCTGAGGCCGGTCCCAAGTTCGCTGGTTTTGCTGGGGGCGGCGTGCCAGTGCAGCATGGGGCAGCCCCAATGGACCCCACACAGGCTCTCGCCGGTGAGTGAGTCGCGAGACACGTGTGACATGTGGGCCACTCAGCGAATGCGTGCCCGCCCTACTGTGTCTCTTCCGTCTGGTTGGGTGCAGATTTGGCAGCTCGTGGCATCGGCAACTTGGTGGCCAACACCCAGCAGGCGATGGCCAAGCAGGCCACTGCACTCATGCAGAACGGCGTGCCTGAAATGTACACGGCCAACCTTGGCGGTGAGCCTCTGCACCCACTCAGCACACAAATGACCCATCTCTCTTGACCTTTGTGTATGCACAGATCTGACCCGCACTCGTATGGGCAAGCGATTTCAGGACAGCCCCAGCGCCGCGCGTCAGCAGGACCTCATGAAGGAGCTGGAGCAGAGGGCCGGCAACATGCCCCAGCCCCAGCACCCCTCATCCTTTGTCTACAACAGCCCCAGCAAGCCCAACAAGGCCGCCAGCGAGGGCGAGGCAGCCACGCCAGACCTCAACCAGCTCATGTCCCTCTATGACATCCGCCAGCAGCGGCCCCTAGTCAACGAAGCCGAGAGGAGGATCGACGGCCGACTCAACCAGCTCAATGATATTGCCTCGGCGCGCCCCCTCACCAGCGTCATCGCGTCGGCCGCAAACACGGCCGCATCCGCTCTGCCCGTCTTCAGCTCTTTTGGCCCCGCAGCCACGATGACGGGCCAAAAGAGGCAGCTCAAGGCCGAGGACGGCATGGCTGCCCTCAACTCCCTCCTCCCCGGCCTCACTGCATCGTCAGCAAGCGACTCCCGGCCAGTCATCCAGACCATTGTTGACGGAGAGGAGGAGGACGGCACCATCACCGCTCTGCAGGCCGACAGCGAGAACCCCACGAGCAGGCGGAACGCCGCCGCATCCCCCGAGCAGGGGGGCCTCCTCGGCGGCCGTCTGTTCGGCGGGGGCGGTGGCGGTGGCGGGATTGTGCAGGGCCTGCAGAGCATCAACGTCGAGGAGGGCCTCAAGACGGCGGCGGGCATCGCGAGGCAGGCGGGCAGCGTTGTCAAGGGCATCGGGGAGTTCCGCAACACCGTCGCCTCATCCCTCGCCGCAGAGGACGAGGAACTCACGTCGCTTCAGTGCGTCGAGATGGGCGGCTGTCCTGAGTACTCGACCTGTCAGTACAAGCCGCTTGAGGCCGCCGAGGGCCGGAAGAAGGTGCTGGGGAAGGCCATGACGACCATTTTTGGTCTGGAGGAGGGCGAGGGTGTGTTCGGGGGCAACAGGGGGCGGGAGGTGGAGAGGGAAATTGAGTGCTTGGGCTGCATCGAGGGCTCCAAGATGAGAATGAAGCGGAGTGGCGGATACACATGCTCAAGGGTAAGCGGGCAACCGAGCCACCAGTGACGTTGGAGAAATCCATGTCTGTGTTGTGTATGTCGTGTGTTCGTTCAGCCAAGGCGCTCTGAGCGGCCGACTGCAGCAGAGGACAAGAAGCCAGCCAAGAAAGCAGAGAAGAAGTGATGGATCCAGTGCATGATTGATGTGGCGTGCTGAGGTGTGCTGTGCTGTGCTGTGGTGTGCTGCACCATCAAGGGGGAGACGTTAGGCCAACCACAGCCTCCCTCCCTCCCTCCCTCCCTCAATGAATCGAATCATGGCATAGTGTAAACACGCATGCGATGCGATGCGCAATTCGGTAGTTTTATTTTCCCTACTCCCCTCCCTCGTGTGGTACCTGTGCAGTGCTGTGAGTGCAGCATGCGAGGGAGGGGCGATCGTTTTTACGGAGCGCTGACGAGACGTACGGGCTGCGGGTGACTTGTCCTTTTCTTTTGCTCGGTAGGTGCTCGTGTGGGGGGGG